TTCCAGATATTAGAGAGTGCTAAATTTATACTGATGGTTCAGGCATGGATGGAGGCGTGGGCTCGGCCTTTACTGTTCTATATTATGGAACTGAGATTCACTTTGAAAAATATGTTCTCGAGAGTTTTAACTCCGTATTTCAGGCTGAGCTCGTTGCATTATTCTATGCCTTAAAATGGATAAAAAACTGCAACCTGGATTTTTGCAATATATTTGTGTTTTCTGATTCTATGTCCTCTTTGGAGGCTTTGAAATCGTTTAATAGCACTAATGATCTGGTTTATTCTATTAAAGATTTATTTTGGTTGTTGAAATTTAAATATAATATTATTTTTGGTTGGGTTAAAGCACATGCGGGAATTTTTGGAAATGAGAGGGCTGATGTCCTCACCAAGGAAGCTGCATCTGGGGATGGGCTGGGAAACGCCAATCTTCCTAATTCTGTTAGAATAACTTGTAATTTAATAAAAAGGTTTTATTATAATAAATGGTATATAAAAAAAGAAATCAGTATCTTAATAATTTGGATTTTGTGAAACATAAATCATTATTTCCAATAAATAACATAGATGCCAATCAATTTTTAATGGGGCATGGCCGTTTCCCTGCCTTTCTCTCAAGATTTAAATTACAAACAAATAATATGTGTATGACATGTAACACGTTGGGCGATGCTCAGCACTTCCTCTGTGACTGTAAACTTACTCTACACATTGTTAAAAAATATGAAATCGGTGGTGATCCTTTTGCAAATTATAATAATTTTACTAGCTGTTGTAAGGAGATTATGAAAATTATAAACAGTGAGCGGCGAGCGGTTGTATAATGATTCATTGATTGCTTAAAAACATTCCTGGTGGTGTGTCTCGTTTTTCTTATGTGTTTTATGTAGGATTGTCCATTTTTTTATATATTATTTTGTTCGTAACATGCATTTTATTTTGTTAGTTATATTTTGTTCTTCTCTTCTTTCCTTTTGTGCCGTTTAAAGGCAGATCTAAAATATGTGGTGTTCTTGTTCTTTGTATTTTGATGTTCATTCTGTTGTAAAGATCTGCCTGTTTCTTTTAATTTCTTTTCTTTGCTTTATTTATAACTTTTTAGTTACTCGGGGCTCTGGGCCTTGGTTTCCCGGAACATGGGGTGTTGTTTGGGGGCTCGGGCCGCTGGGTGTTCTCATTTGTGGTTTTGGATTGGACGTAGTCCTATGACCATTGAGTCAATCTTAAGATTGACAAGGGGGTCGGACTGCGTCCATATTTAATACCTCCTAGAGGGTAGCACTAATCCGGCATTCTGTTTCTAATTGAATTTGCCCCGAGTTTTATGAATATTTGCACCATTTTACATAAGATACAAGACAGTGAGAGATGGCTTCAACATTTACTCAGCAGAAAATGAGAAAAAATGAGGTTATGAAGTGGAAAGACAAGAAGGATATACTATGTTTGATGAGTACAATCCAAAATAACTCGATGACTGATATTGAAACACAGAAAAGAACTGTAAAAAATAATTTTAAAAGATTACAACAAAACTGGAGGTGGGGACTACCTGGATCAAATGTTATCAAATTATCCTGCTGTAGGAAACTAGCAGAGATATTATTCCCAAATATTTCAACATTTACTAGATATGGCGGTATTTAATGCATATGTTTTGTACAAAACAATTTATGGCAAATCAGATGACTTGTCTTTTAGGCTTGATCTTGTAAACAAAATCATAGATAAACATTACAAGCCAACAACAAATACACAGAAAGAGTGTCGTTTGAGCAGCTGTGATGTATCACATTTTACCGAAAGGCACTTTATAAACTACATTCCACCTACTGCAAATCAGAAAGAAGAAAGATGTTACATTTGTTGTAGAAAAAAATTGTTAGGGAAAAACGCAAAACTATTGTAAAGAATGGGATGTAGGGCTATGTATTACCCCATATTTTAGAGTTTAACATGATGTCAAAAATTTCGTAAAGAGATGGAGTTATCTATTCAAAAAAATGTTAGTACAATTTGAATATATTTTTCAAAATAATAATCATGTTTTATTTCCTGATAATTTTACTTAATATTCATTTGCATTTAACCACTGCAAACGAATGGAAAGTGATATCTGTACTAAGAAAACAAAACTACATGCGGCGAAAAACAGAGGGCCGCTGGGGAGAAATTTTCTTCAAATTCTTCAAATGTCTACAGCAGATCAAAACAATTCAGATCAAATGAAATGTAAGAAGAAAAATTATTCTAAAAATCAGAAGGAGTGTGGGCATGGAATTTGAATAATTAAAGTTTTGTTAATTCACTAAATTTCATTTTTTGCTAGGGAGATTTTTCTTTAGAAAAAGCTAAAAGTTAAAAAGCAGGAAAAACCAGGAAATAAAAGCCAAGAGTTTTCCATCTCTGACAAGAGACTGGCAGCTGTGATGGAAAACAGAAGAACTGGCTACTGTGAGATACCACTGAGAAAAGCAACCCTGTGTGGATAAGTAGTAGCTGTAAGTGCTGTTTATGATATGGGTGCAATTGGTTCAAGTACTGGATCCTTGAGAAATGTGGTCTGGAGAAGACAAAACTGAGTAGTGATTGCTTATGTTCTGGTATGTGTAGTAACTTCTGCATGACAAAGCTCTACCTCTTTTTGATTTCGAAGGTCTATGCCACTCATCCCAGAATTGCAGTACATCTCTTAAAGGAACCCATTTTATATAATCTTTGATGCAATCTTTGGTTTGGAATAAAACTCACTAGGTAGTGCTCTTGATACAGGTGCACAATGGCTTGTTCATTATCCCAATGATAGATGCACATATAGGTAACCTTGCATTGCTGAAACTTTCTGTCCCGTTACCTCTGCAGATGGTTTTCTTGCATGATTGTTTTACCGTTTTTACAACAGCTCCATCTGTCACATGATAATGGCAATTCCAACACACCATTACTATCAGATTTTGATTCATCTTTGCATAACCTACCATTCCCAGAAACCTATGCATGGGGCAGTGAATAACACTGTACTTATATATATGTAGGAAAAATAAAGAATATGTAAAAGATTAAATTAGCAACGTAAATTTCCCTTCTCAATTCTAAAAATAGTAACCTCTTTCTGCACTGTGTCATTTCGAGATTATTCTATGTCATATGATTCTTAATGTAATTCTGATTATGCAAATGGAACTAAAACTCAAGACAGCCAATAGTAATTTTCCAGCAATATTAACTATTCAATCAGAATACATTAAGAACCAAAACTAACTCAGTCTGAATTAAGATTTCATCCTGAATATAACGCACTTGCTTTCAATCCTTTGGCCTAGCTGGACTGCTGTCTGTCTACTGCTTCCTTCTTGCTGCAAAATTATCAAAAATGTAAATTTCTTGAAACAGGCACAAATAATGTGCTAAGTTGTTTGTGGCTGCAATGTGTTTGCTGAAATAAAAAATGAATATTTAAACTGCCTTCGCCTCCAATTTCCTACTTATTATAGATCAACACTTCTACGCCATCAAAAGTTCTGCTGTCATTACTTCTGACTTTGTTTTTATTACATATGTATATGTGTGTGCATGTCTGTATGCATATATATATAAGATTTAAGTAAGCTAGTTAATCAATCATACTAAACTCCCTAATACTAGCACTAAAGTTGCAAAGTAATAAATTAATAATTTATTTTCTAATAGATTTAGTATATTATCTCCATTCAGAAAAATAGTTAGAATTCTATTGAAATGAAGCAACTAATTAGCATATTTAAAAATGGAATTTTGTACAACATGACTTTTTAATGTTAGCTGTACTTATACATCAGACTTAGTATAAATACTCTTGGCACAATAACTACGTCATTTTAGGCAAGTGGGCTTAGCATTGGGGATATGTTAGCAGTGGCGAAGATAGGGAAAGGAATGGTGTAGTTATTGTGTCAAGAGTATTTATATTAAGTCTGATGTATAAGAACAGATAATCTGGGATTGGTTAATTTTACGTTGTTACATAATGTGGAAGGACCTTGAATTTGGAAGAACAGATGAATTTTAGGGGGAGAACACCAAATCTAGAACAGTTAATTTTCAGGTTGGCAATTATTTTTAAAGCAGCTGTCTTTGTTATATATTACATATATATAGTACAGATCTAAGTTGAAACTAGAACTGATGTAGCAATCAATTATGACCTCAACCAAGATCATCTGAAACATTGAACTTTATATATGAAATCTTCGATCAAAGGAACTTAAAACTTCAAAACTTTATATCTCAAGAACTTCTGATTTATTGAACTCCGATTCAACCACAGAAATTTTGCTAATTCTTGAAGTATTGAAATTTGTTAAAATCAAATTGAAATATGTATCAAAATTAGCTCAAATTTTGCATATTTTCCCTTTCACATTTTTATTTTTCAAGATTGTTCCATTATGAATTCTCTCTTTAACCGGATTAGTTTTGATATTGTGTTAAACCTCTTTTACATTGTTGCAATTATTATATTATAAAGAAATTGCCTTGCTTTTGTTCCAATTTACTAATTAATTTAGATGCTTTAAGTTTATATCTATATATACAGAGAGAGAGAGAGAGAGAAAATTGCCTTGCTTTTAAAAAAATTAAAAGTTCAAATTAGAAATAGAAAATTAGAAATAGAAATTAAAATTAGAAATAGAAATTAATAAGAATATTTAATTGAATAGTAATATATCTTTTATCAGAATCATATTACACATAGTTCAATAACTTGAATCGTGCAAAACTTAATTTGAACTCTATTGAAATTGCCTTGCTTTTAAAAAGAAATTGCCTTGCTTTTGTTCCAATTTACTAATTAATTTAGATGCTTTAAGTTTATATCTATATATACAGAGAGAGAGAGAGAGAGAGAAATTATGAAATAAAATCTTATTTCAAGGAAAAAAAATGTGCCATATTAGAAAATGACGAGATCAAGATCACAAAGTATTTTTGTGGATCTTTCAAAATAAATTAACATACCTTCTTTTCATCAGCTTTAATGATTTCTTTGGCATATGGTAATAATGCTTTTGGTGCCATTCCTATGAGTATTTTAATTGCCTGTGCTTCACTGGAGCACATGACATCCAAACTCAACCAACTAGGTTTCTTTTCTTTTGCAGAGCACAAGAAGTCGAGAACTAATTCTTTAACCTCATCAGATGGACCCAAATATGAAAGAAGTGACTGAAATAAATATAGTTTTTGATTCCATAGAAAATTATAATCTAGACAGTAATAGCTATGATTCAATGCACATTAAAACTAATAAAATAATTAAAATAGGAAAGCAGTGCATACATCATTAGAAAATATATTTTTTTCTTCAACATTAAAAAACTCCAACATTTAACAAATACGGTAATACATTATAGAAATAACTAAAGCAGAGTTAGCAAAGATTTATTAAAACAAAGTACACAAGTATTTTATTAATACAGATAGAATAACATGCATTAAAACCAGTTCAAAAGATGAATAATCATACTCCTTTGAAAATATTTTTGTTTCACGGAACAATGAGTAAACAGATTCTTTTGTAATTTTTTAAATAATTACCGATAATCTAAAAAAAAAAAAAAAAAAAAAAAAAAGAAGTTTAATTTGAGAAGGGGAGTTTAAAATATAAATGCATTTCATTTATTTTCAAGATGAATTCAGAAAGAAAATAAATAATTGTCACAACAAACTCGTTGATATAAACTTATGATAACAATATTTTATTGAGAAAAATGTTTTCATTGCTAACAGTTAACACTTAAAATAAAATAAATATACAGTACAAAGACTGTAATCCGGACTCGTCGGGATTTCGACGATTCCGGATTATAGATAATCAATTTAAATCTGGTAAGATGGCATGCAGAAATTATACAGTTGAAAATATGAAACCGTAATTTATGAAATAAAGAGCAATTATGATCTAAAGGGTATCAAAATTTACAAAAAAAAAAAAAAAAAAAAAAAAAAAAAAAAAAGCTTAATATTTATTTGTTTACTTTATTAAACATTTCTTTCAATGTAAGTCATTTAAGTTGCTTCATTTTTTGTACTAAATGTGCATGCGTAAACACTAAGCGCATTATGTGCATGCGTAAAGCATACAAAGTTTGTGGCTTTGAGGTTCAGATGTTCAGACAAAGTTTGTGGCTTTGAGGTTCAGATTATAGATTATTCCGGATAATGGATGTCCGGATTACGGACTTTATACTGTAGTAAACATATTGCAAACAGATTGTTGGTAGTTGTCGGTCAGAGATTTTGATATTTTGCAGTACTACACAGTTCATTTAACAGTGAAACATATTCTGAGTGGATTCATAATACAGCGAAATGTAACATTATTTCATGCTTTAAAATTTATATCTTAAGTGGATAAATTAGTTTGACTTTGCTCAGATGTCCAAATATTATCAATTAATGGGGAAAAAATGCTTATCATTTGCTCCTCGTAAAGGAAACATCAAAACTGTGCACTAATTTTCTCTCACTGCCTCTACCACTAATTTTCTCTCATTGCCCATCTTCACAGCTGGTGTTGCCAACATAAATAACAGTTTTGAAAAATATACTATTTACTACCAAGATATTAATTAAATGTTTACTCAAGAGGAATATTCTTTCAGTAATTTCGATGACGATCAGAGCATGAAAACTTTAGGATTATTATGGAATCCAAAGGTAGATTGTTTTTCGTACAAATCAACGATCAAGAAACCAGCTACTTACACAAAGAGAACAGTGTTGTCTGACATAGCTCGCATTTATGATCCATTAGGACTGCTTGGTCCAGGAATAACAAAAGTAAAAATCTTCATCCAAAGACTTTGGTTATTGAAGCTTGCTTGGAACGATCCGCTACTCAAGAAGATAATTAAAAAGTGGCAATTTTTTATTAATTCCATGCAATCTATCAACAATTTGCAAGTGAGCAGATATGGTTTACAGCACAATTTTTCTGAGATACAAATTCATGGATTTTCAGATGCATCAGAACACGCATATGAAGCAACCGTCTATTTACACTGCAGAAGTGACAATAATTTATCTTCACATTTGCTTTGCAGCAAGTCCAGAGTAGCTCCACTAAAACCGTTGACAGTACCACGATTAGAACTCTGCGCAGCTGTACTGACTGAATTACGACAAGCTGCATGATGCTGATCTCTTGTGGAAAGCTCCTCCATTGAGGGAAGGTGCCATACCTAGCAAGAACACTGACTTTGAACAATTAGAAAAAAAGAGACATTTTCTAATGAACTGAGAAAGAGAACTGACATTGCTTGTTTATGCACTTCACCTTCCAAATTAATTGATTATGTCCTAAATATCACTAACAATTACTTAAAATTATTATGCATTATTAGCTCAATTTTTAGGTTCATTTGGAACTCTAGGTGTGCAAAACAGAAAGGAGCACAAAGAAGAACAGGAGGGCTAAGTTCAAAGGAGTTAAATGAGGCAGATTCCTTTTTAGTAAGAGAAGTTCAAAAATGTAGTTTTTATTTAGACTACAACTCCCTCGCACAAGGTAAACCCATTAATAATAAAAGCCATTTACTTTCTTTGAACCCTTTTTTGAATGCAAATAATGTAATGAGAGTAGGAGGCCGATTACAAGGAGCCAATGTAATATTTTCACAAAAATATCAAATAATTTTGCCTGTTAAATGCAAACTAACTAAACTGATTGCTGAGCATTATCATCGGAAATATTTACACGTAGATTCACAAGCATTATTGTGCTTTATGAGATGGAAAGTTTAGCAATTACAAGGTAGGAATTTAATTAGAAAGATTACCCATGAATGTATAATTTGTAGTAAAAATAAACCAGTCACTATGGAACAAATTATGGGGTCATTACCTGCAGAGCTTGTAAGTCCGAGCTCACCCTTTAACCATGTCAGTTCTGATTTTTGTGGCTCACTTTTCATTAGGTACAAGGGACAGAGGAAAGGAACTCTTCATAAAGTATATTTAGCTCTTTTCATTTGCCTTATAACAAAGGCAGTGCATCTCCAACTAGTGAGTGACCTCACCACTGACACATTTATTGCCAGACATGGAAAATGCTCAATCATTTTCTCAGACAACACAAAAAACTTCGTTGGCGCAAATGCCGAATTGCAAAGAATTAACAGGTTAATTAGAAATCCTGACAAAAAATTAGCAGATTATTTAGGTGAAGAAGGAATCGTTTGGAAGTTTATTCCCCCCCATGGTTACCTAATTTTGGTGGGCTATGGGAATCTGGAATTAAATCCGTGAAATATCACTTAAAGCGGATTATAGGTAATGCAAGGCTGACTTTCGAGGAGTTATTAACTGTAGTAACTCAGATAGAGTCTGTTTTAAATTCTCGCCCTAATATTCCCTTATCTTCTGATGTAAATGATTCAGAGGCCTTAACATCAGTCCATTTTCTCATTGGAAGACCCTTTAATGCTATAGTAGAACCCGAATTGATATACATGAAAACAGACTCTCAAGATGGAAATGAACTACCAGATTTGTCCAATTAATATGGAATTGTTGGCATAGGGACTATTTAAACACATCACAACAGCATTCAAAATGGAAAGTAGAACAAACGAATATTAAAATTGGTATACTAGTACTAGTTAAGGAGGACGAGCTTCCTGTCAGTAGATGGGTGTTTAGGTTCATTACAAGACTTTTTCCTGGAGCTGACGGTAAGGTTATAGTAATAGAAATATATACAGCAAAAGGCATCATTAAGCGTGGAATTACAAAAATTGCAATTTTACGCCAGGAAGAAGCTTCTTAAGTTAATTGTATTAGCTTATTATTATAAAACCTACCGTAAATAAAATTTTGTATTGGAAATTGAATATTATTATATTTAATTAAGATAAATTACTTATATTGCTTTATTGTATAAGGTTGTAATTGTACAATTTTGCATGTTATTATGAGTATTATCGCACAAAATTATTGAAGTAACCCTTCAATGTCGGGGGGTATGTTCAGTCATTAGGACAGTTTAGATTTAAGATTAGGTAATTTTTCTCTTCTTGGCGCCTTGCATGGCGCGAATGTTCATTACAGTAACCTTATAAATGCTCGCTCAGTTTTTTTATTGCTATTGTTGTTAGTAGTAAGTCATCACTTGAAAGATGGCATGCATGTGATTAAGGTTGTAAAACAAAATATTAATTAGTACAGTCCACTTCTTTAAAATTGTATTATTTGTATATCAATGCCCACATTACATGAACAGTGTCTGCATCAGATTTTTTATAGATAGCAATAGGCATGAAACACAATTTAAGGTCTGAAGAGAAAAATGCGATTTTATAGGAGCTATTGGGAAACGAAAAAAATGTTAAACTTAATCATGACTTTAGATAAATGAAAGCCCTAACCATGATTTTAGAGTGACTTTTGGTAAAAAACTGATGTGACCTGACATAAGACCCGACTTTTAACGTCTTGGGTTTAGGTTTCTTTAATCCTTTGCGGCTCAGTGTTCCACAACATGGAACACTCAAATTGAATCGCTTCTGAAACCTTTAAATTCAACCGTAAATAGATAAAAATGCTTTTATAATATACTTTGAACTTTTCTTTTTAAACAGTAGATAGCAGCATATCACAAGGAGACACAGAATTTTCATTTATTATGTGTTATTAAAATCCACTTTTTTCTCAAGTAATTTTCTCTATTTTTTTAATGATATAAAACATTTTATTTGGAACAAAAATTAGGCATAGTTTTGCTGGCTGTACTCCAAATTATTTGTTCTATATTTTTTAAAATCTTTCATACAAAAACCATACGCAGAATCATTGAATGAAACCGGGTGTTCCATTAGCAGGAACACTGCGCCTTTAGCGATCTCATGCTGTTATGAATCAGAACATGTGTGCTTAGGAGAGAACATCCGTTGTTTACGTTTTCTGTTTCCGTTGTTTGGGGGGGGGATGAATTCAAACAAAGCAGTATTGAGGGGTGAGGTGTGTTTTGTGTTATGAAAGCCCTAATATTGGCATCTCAAATTTTTGGGGATTAGCTTTTAGGCAGGAATTTTATTAGTAGCTTGATCTTTACTTAGACCTGCGCAAATTTTTTGAGTCGCATTTTAGTCTCATTCCCGTTTATTTTCAATAATTGTGTAGATATTTTTTGTGTATGTATATATTAAAGGCTTATTTTTCTATATTGTTAATATTAATCGTAGTTAATTTTTTTATTATTAATTTTCCATAAATGGTGCGGAGAGGTCTAACTCTTTCCGAAAATTTGTAAATATTTTGTATATAGGACTTGTGTATACAGATATTTATCTCATTTATCCGTATATATTCAAGAATATTGTATATATCCAGGAAACCATGTATACAGCCATAATACAGAGTTTTTTCATTCTTATACAAACGCTTCTACTCATTTTCGTGCTCCACTGCAATGCTTGCTTAGTCACACTTTTAAAATCTCTGGCGGAGCAGTGTTCCACCTCATGGACCACCCACAGAATTAAAACAGTTAGTGAAATTTTTACAAATTTTACCTGTATACTCCTTTAGGACTAAATAGACTGCATACAACTTTTTTTGTTGAAATTCCGACGTTAACGTATAGTGCGCTGCAAAGGGTTAATGCTATACAAGCATTATAACATCAGGTTGTGCCTACTAACATAGACCAACTTATCAAGCTGTTTATACTTCATTCAAATAATCAAATTATTCAACTATGCTTTTTAGACTTTGCAGCAGGCCATAGCATATACTATTCAGGTCGGTGGGGGAAACAGTTACAAGCTGCCCACATGAAAAAAAGCAGTGCTTCAATCACAAAACAAGCTCTCAGAATTCATTACTTGTGCCAAAGAATCCATTAATGTGCCACATCAGGCAATAAATAATTTTAAAAATTAAATAAAACATTATATATAAAATAAAAGTTAAGTAAATACTTTGTACACTCATATAGTTGTATTGTATGAAGTTAGTGGAGAAGCAGGGGAAAATATTGCTTTTTTAAAATGGAATAATCATTTCAATACGGAGGGAGTATGTTTCACTGTGGCAGTGAGATGTCTGTATGAATATATAACAGAGATATGGCTGAAATTAGTATTAAAGTTGGGAACAGCCATAACAAAACACTTGAAATATTAAGAGCTATGCACATGGTGATTAAAATTTTATCCATATATATATATCTTGATAATTCAGGCATTTTAACATGATAACATACCGAGTGATATCCAAAAAACACTCTGACAGAGTATACACAGCAGCTGCTTATATTAACCTTGTATTAGCAAACAGTGATTAAAGTCTTGCGAAACATTTGCATAGAGTCACGAGAAAGAACAGAATAGATCTGCTTAAGAAACACTGGTTTGGCTTCACTACATTTCTTAGCTACATGCTGCTGCAGTGGCATATGTGCCAGAGTTTAGAATTGATTTGTCATTACTAGAATGTTTAGCACATGCCTAGACTTTACGACATGAGATTTTTGGTGGTTCTCAATACTGAAAAGCCAATTTATGCAGAAAGAGGTTCTCCTCAGATGAAGAAATGTTAAAAATCATGATGGAAGTTTTAAAGAAAATGTAACAAAACAGTCTATTATGTTTTTGAATTATACAAAAAATGCTATGAAAAGTGTAATTCAATGTGAAATTTGAGATGGGTGGGAAAAAGGCACGTACAGATGTCATCTGGGTAAGAAAATCAGTCTTAAAATTTTCCAACCTACCAATGTAAAAGAGACATATATGATACATTGTCTGAGAAATTATAACTTCTGGTTCATAAGCAGCTGTTTTACATTTAAATTCTCATTCAGCTCTCAATCTACCAACTGCTGACTGCTGTTGCCATTTATCTAAATGATCATTTTGAGATATACTGACAATATCTGAATCTTATTAAGTCATAAATTTACTTGAAGATAAAATGTTCATGTGAATACAAAGACTTGTTCACACTTTATACCAGAAGTGGCCAAATTTCTTTTTGATATAAAGGCCATGTTAAAATTTAGGGAAATTCAAGAGCTGCAAATGAATTTTCTGACAGTTACAACTAGATACTAATCTAAGTAATAAAGCAATAATTTAACAGAAAGAAAAGCATGAAGCAATTTAATAGGAATACAGCAGTTTTTAATTAACTATGGTTATTTATAATGTAAACAAATAATTATTGTTGCTCTGTAATAAGTAAAACACATGTGACATACAAATTTTAAACTTTTGCATAATACACTGAACACACTTTTTCATAGAAAATTCAAGTATTTCTTATTAATTTCCATTTCTCTTTTGACTATAATAATGTCCTGATTTTGACAGAGTAAATTTAAAAAAAAAAAAAAAAAAAAAAAAAAAAAACATAATGATGTTTATAATAACACAAAATTTTTTCATTTGATCAAAAATCAATGCAGTAATTTGAAGACCATGACTAGTAAATGTTTTCGTATACTCTTAACCAGTATGCATGATATACAAGGACTCTGCTGATACATCTCTGCTACCTAAGCAAATCAGAAGGATTTGAAACATTTCACACCTATTTCAATGCATTTTATACCTCTTAAATAAAATAATAAGGTAATCATATGTGAAGAAAAACTTGTATTTAAATTTTTGTGCATTTATTTACTTTTCAGAATAAAGAAATACAGTTTCCTTGCTTTTTTTATTTAACCCTCTGATGGTTATGGATTTAGCCCAATTTTAAAGTTCCTCAAAACATCATGAATAAATGGTATTTTATTAACTATAATTAATAAACAACTTTAAATTTTGTACCTTGATCTCTTTTCTTCAAGTATACCTCTAACCCAAAACTGGATATATTAAAAGCTGGCAGAAATTTTCATGTGTAGTGAACGAAAGCTACCCTTCCACATGGAATTTTACATCCATAATGCTGAGAGGGTTAAAAATATAAACTGTTATCTCTTCTATTAAAACAATGTTTTATTACTCAAAATTACATATTTTCTCATTCAGCTTTATGTGTAACAGGTAATATTAGAAAAACCTTTTCTAATACCTGAAGTCTCAACAAGTCTTCATTGCATGACCAACAGCAGCAATCCACTTCTTGTCCATTTACTTTCTCTTTGTTACATTTTTGAGATAATGTGCATGTTCTTGAGATTCCTTTCCCTGGAATTTAGTTCAGCTTAATTTAGAATAAATAAAATGCAAAAATATCACAAATATACACATATAAAAGTCAAAGCAGCAATGCAGTACACAGCAACACAGTGCAGTCTGAATTTAAATACACAATTTCAAGATGCTAAATGCTAAAAAAATATATTAATGAAACAGATTAACAAAAGAAAAAAATGTCCATATATATTTGCTTCAAAATTCATATAAGCTTACTCTGGGAGTTAGATATGCTTCAAAAAAATTTAAATAAATTTATATATTAAAAATGAAACACATTCTGGATAACTAAGCAGTGCATTCTTATAGGATATAGTACAACTTGTCAAATTAAAAAAACAAACAGTTAGTTACTTTACTATACTTTAGAGGACAAAAATATATGCTTCATAGGAAATTTTCCATATTAAAGCCAAGCACAGGAAGTTTGCCATATTAACCCCAAACAATAATTTTTAAGAAATTTTATAAAAGTGCATCTCCTGTATTCACACACAAATATGTACACAAATTCACATGATAAACCAATTTTTAAATCCAAAATAAAACTTAATAGCATAACATTTTTCAACAATTTTATAACAGAGAAAGAAAAATGTTTCCACTTCAAAGCACTAAAAATTTACAACAATATCCCCAGTTCGGTGGGATACAAAAAATTAACAATTTTTTCAGGCATACCGTTAAATGGTGGCATCTCATTTAACCATGCAGGTCTGGAACCAAACAAAACTGCAAATGAACATACCTGGAAAAAGAAAAATTATATCTTTACATTATTCATACATTAAAAATAATGATATTATTTTTCTATTTAAAATTTCCACAAATGTTGTTGTAACAGTCACATCCCTAGGTGCTGGAAACTGTGCTTCTGTAATGTAAACACATGAGTTGAGATTTTCCACTTATCAATACCAGCAAATATTTTCACACAGGGGTGTTATGTAGCAAAGTATTGGAATACCTGTTAGTTAAAGAAAAAGCTATCGTTATTTCAGTTCATAAAAGGAATAAACCTCTGAATGATTTTAATAGTCACTGGCCTGTTTATTTGACTTGCAATCTATCAAAAGTCATAATGAGATTGACAGTTTCTTGTATACCGAAAGAAATGATATTTTATCTGCAATTCAAATGGGTCTTCGAAAATTCCAATCAATTGGGCAACATGTTGACTTCCCGGCCCTAATCTATATAGATGACCTGGATTGCCAACATTCTGTCTTTGTTTTGTTTGCAGACTTCCAGACCCTGCCACTTTTGACAGAGTCTGGAGATAAGGACTATCCCAAAACTGCAATTCAGAGGTGTTGGTGGCAAGATGGTCTGGTGGATCAAAGAATTTCTTTCTCAACGCTTCTGCGACCTTCACATTGGAGGTAACACTTTGAAATTTAAGAAAAATGAAACTGGTCTACCACAGGGAACTATACCTAGCTCCATCCTGTTTTAATACTTTTATAAATGACCTCTCTGACCTGATGACTTCTGATGTATTGACAAAACAGGTTCAATTCACAGACGATCTAGTCCTTTGATGTAGCTTTGTAAAAAAAGACAAATCAAACTTAACACTATTTGGAATCTAACCCTGGAGCTTGAGTGGCTACAATGCACATCGGCAGGTTGTGGATAGCTGGATGTCTTGTATTACCTGACAGGATAGCTTCAAATAATAAAAAAAGAAGCCACAAATCCCCTCCCGTAACTCTGGTGTTATGTAACCAGTGCCTAGGGTGAATGACACTGTTGTTATAGTGTCTTAATGGAGCCTCTAGAATGCCTGGCAACTTCTGGAGAATTTTGCCTTACACAGCAACAGGCAATAACGGTTGGGCCTTTTTTATCCTGATTATCCTTTTCTAGTTTATATATGGGTGAAAATGATAATATAACTAGAAATTCTGCTTTTGCAGGCAAAACTTCTGAGGTAAAACTTTCTTCTCGAAACAAGGAGACCCAGAGGAAATCAGTCGAAGGAGCAGAAACAAATCATTCATTAAGTGAGGTAGAAATGATCTCTACTTAAGTTACTCAATTAACATATGGAGAAGGGCAGGAAGTTATTATAAGCATTAAAAAAAAGTGCCTGAGAACCAAAGATACTTTGAAAAAGCCCAAGGGGTTGCAAAAATTTAAAAAATTTAAATTTATTTAAATTTTTGAAAAAGCCCAAGGGGAAAGGTCCCCCCCCAAAAAAAGGCAATCTCAAAGGATGGAGCAGAATACAGCCCTAAAGACTGCCAAAAGAGACAGACCTGAAGGTTATATCTTCAGGGAGGCTCTTACAGTGGTCAAGATGGCTGTACTCATTGAAGGACATCATGAAAAACGTTTATCGAAGGAACAGGCTACTGACCTTGAACTTCTGATAACATTGACTATTTTAAGGTATTCTCAATACTAAAGAGTTACTCCTGAGCTCTATTAAGGGGTTGTTAGACTTTATAAATAAAGTGGATGACCCAAACAAATGGAGCTAGGAAGCATTGGGCTTGCACAAAATGCTAATTAGCAGAGGTACCTGATATGTGACAAGCTTAATCTCAAAAAGAAGAATCCTAGAGTGACTTGAACATTGGTGAAAGGATAGCGATATGTCAACGAACATAAATAAAAATACCAGCCAATTTTTCACTCTTAATTGACAATCCTTTGTTTCCTAACTCGTTTTTCAGAGCAGACATATACAATTTATTGATTTTCAACTTATTTAGGCTACATCTTCAACAAACTAACTTGGAGGGGATATGATGAGCATGTTATCTCAAAGGCAGGAAAAAAATGGTCCTGATTTGGGGATGCAGCTATTGACAAAAACAAACTTTTGATTAATGTCATTAAAAAAGATGCAACTATTCTTTATAACAGATTAATTAGTCTCCCTAATAATTCACTTTGCAGAAACTACAATCGCAATAAAAAATGTAACCTGAAACCTCAAAGGGATTTTATCCAATGTGCACAGTATATTGACTGCTTCCAGACTGCTGTCCTGAAGCACTCCATGTGATTGCTCTGGAAACTATCCACGATCGCTACCATACTCATGAATGGCTTCACATCTATACAGATGGTTCCCTTTTGGACTTTACTCAAGGAGCTGGGGCTAGTAATTTTTGTGAACTTTTTTGTTTTTATCTGCCAGTTGAAAATTTCATTACCCATTTTGATGGTGACCTAAAAGCAATGTATGTAACAATTCAGCTAATAGATAAATCTGCAAAATAATTCAATAACTAAAAGATAAATCTGCAACTATGATGATCGAAGAAAATCTGACAAACAAGGAAGCTATGTATTCGTTATCTCAATGAAAATTATAGATTCTGAACAGAGCAATCAAGTTTTTTTGGCAAGTTCAAACTTTGTAGATGGTATTAATTCTTCTACTTGATCTCAATACATCTACTTGCAATAGTCGTTACACCAAAGGGCTATGAAATAGAATACTTACAAGTAAAAGATCTAATATCAGAAAGCATTTTACTTGACCGCCAAATTTACCTTGCTGAAAATACTTGTTGAAGACTATAGATTTCATCATCAATGGTAAATGCATAAAATGAACTAGATTGGTGATGAATACATAAAAGAATTCAAGGAATTAAATGCTATTGTAATCAAACAGAAACTGCTTTTTCACATTTGAAAAAAAAGAAAAATGCATACTTAGATACTTGAAAGAAACACACCTTCTGGTAATAAAATTTTATGTCATTTATTGAAATTAATATAAACAAGTAATAATAATATATATCAACACATTAACCACCATGTCATACAAAGTCTTAAAGCATCAGCAATTTTGTCATGAAAACAGGCTGCTATTCAAAGCCTTCATAGATCTGTTAATAGTGTGAATATCTATAACATCATATTTATAGACAGAAGAGAAAGTCTAAAGAAGAGTACTGAAACTACAATAAATGTTAGCATTAAATTAATTTTTTTCATTATATTGCACTAGTTTATTTGATTACAATAGGTTTAGAAAACAATGTATTAATTATTATTATTTCATTTATTTATTTATTTTGCATAAATAAATGTAAAATTTCCCTTTTTATTTTTGAAAGACTCCCCTCCCCTTTTTTGATGCGAACAGTACATTAGAAATAGAATTTACAGTATTATAATTAGGGATTAGCAAAACTAAATTAGAAAGAAGTAAAAAACAGAAGTAAAAATGAGCAAGAATAGTAAAAAAAAAATAAATAAGAGATAAGAAAATTTCATGTTTTTCATTTCAGAAATAACTTACACTTCCAGAAAATGTATTTGAAGTGGCACCATTTTTATTACGAGATTCTAGTAACCTTTTTAAGTAGATTTTGACTAAAAGTACCTATAAATATATAAAAAACAAAACATAACACACTTCTGTTGCTCCAATTATTGAAATTAACACATTAATATTATTTAAATTACGAAATATTAAAAAAATATTTACAGTTATGTTTAGCAAAATGAAAAATAATAAGCTGTCTGAGGTTTATTTAAATGCATCCAAAGTTCTTGTTATAAATATTATATCTTGATAATTTAAAATACAGTGAAGGTTACATTCAGTAAAAGCTCAGCTTAATGAAATCTAATTAAATCTATAAATAATTGTTAGAAGAGTTTTAATTCAAAAACACAACATTTGTCAATAATTAGATCTTAGATAACCACATAGGCTAAATGGTTAAACCAGCAGTTCTCTATTTTATTACATTTTTGCAGTATGCAAATTAGATATACACAAAACATTATTCGGTTAAATAAAAAAATGAGATTTTGTTTAGAGAATATTTATTGTAAATCCTGAAATACGAAGGCTGCTATTTATATTTTTGGCCAACAGTAAGTTTTGCTAGGCGACTGCAGACAATTCCAATCGAAAGGTGGATATTTTTAACTGTAGCTTCTTCAGAATGTTTTGCCATTTTAGCATGACCATGTTGTTTACAGCACATTGAAAAATTCATCTCAAAGGCAGAAAAAGGGAGTGACTAGTGAACAATTTCATGTGACTATTTTTCATAAATTTCGATGTGGATTATCAGGACAAGAATGCTTTGATGAACACAATTCTTTATACAGTGACACAGCACTGTAAAAAACTGGTATTACGGTTCACTCCAGGTTGAATTCCGTGAAGGTCATCCAAATCGGTTGTTGTGACAGAAAATATCGATGTTGTGTGTGAAATGATAAAGCAAGATAGTCATCTGACATACTGTGAGATTGACACATCTTTGGGGATTAGTATGACAGCCATCAATAAGATATTATGTGAACATTTAGCTGTAAAAAAGATTTGTTCATGTTGAAACCACATAATTCTGATAAATGCTCAAAAGAAGGCTTGTGTTGATTGGAGCAAGGAAATTTTGGAAAAATACGTTCAAATTGCATCAAATGCTGTGTATAGCATCTACTCAGGTGATGAATCATAGATCTATGCATAAGAGCCCAAAACAAAACAGCAATCGACTGTGTGGGTCTTCCAAGATGAGCCACATCCAACAAAAGTTGTTCATGGAAGAAGCACATTGAAGCAAATGGTTGCCTTTTACTTCGGTATTACCAGGCACATGGCGACAGTGATATTACACCAACGCAGGATGGTCAATTCCGAATGGAACATGACCATTTATTTGCCAGAAGTCATTGAAGAAATCCAAAAAAAAGCAGAAGAGGTGAATCATTTTTCATCATAACATTGTGAGCCCTCACACATTGGCTCAAACAATGGAATTTTTGATGAGCTAAAACATCAAACTGATGGGCCATCAGCCACACAGCCCTGATTTGGCACCCAATGACTTTTGTATTCCCGCACAGCAAAAATAAATTACATAGTCAGAGATTTGCGAAACCCGAAGAAGCAGTTGATACATTCGAAACGTATGTTTTGGAGTTACCTCAATCCAAGTGGAAAGCATGCTTTGAAAATTGGTTCAAGCAGATGCAAAAGCGGAGGCTTTATGGAGAATGTTTTATAAAACAATAAAACCAATTTTGATCATAAACATTTGTTTTTTCATTATTAGGCCAGAAATATAAATAGCAATCATGTAGTTATAATAATTATTGTTTAACATAAGCCATAACTAGTTTAGGTTTAGTCTTGAAAATCACATAGATACTATGAAAAATAAATTCTTTCTCACTAGTACACAGCTACTCATACACTTCCACATAAACCTTTACCTTATATATAGAACATCAATCCATTCAGAAGAATGCCCAGTGATGACATGCTGCAATAGAGTTATGTCATCAGCCTCATAATGAGGAAGAAGCTCACATTTTTTTTTCACTTCAGGTTGCCAAAACGTGGTGCATCCATTTTGCATCTGGCAAAATTCAGCTCATTATGAAGTGACTTCACGAGACATCAGTTTTTGCATATCACATTCTCTATGACACTTGTGCTGTCTGCTATGTGAGAGCTAGGTGAGGAGAATCTTCCACACTAGTGATGTCAGTTCTTCACCTTCTCAGCCTATTCATATACTTACGTATGGCACATATACCTGCCACCTAATGAATTTTGATCCAAGAGTGAACTGGCACAGTTTTCATTCCTTTGCTTAGTAAAAATTTCATTATTTCACTGCTCCTGTTTGATGCCCTACTGCAAGGGTGCCACAGTCTTTTTGAACTGTGTCACATATTCCTATGTTTAGACATACTAACAATCTCTGTTGATATTTAAAAAAGAATCATGATTTAGAAATGTCATTTAACATGACAATATATTTGTAACAAATTCTTTTAAATTAAATGTTTCCAGTTTCCCATTCAGTGACCTATATTAAACTCTTAATGCACCAACAAATATTCAAAAAGGGTTCGTTTCTCTGACAACAGTGGTATAATGGTGATAAATATAATTATTTAAAAAATCATACAGATGGTCACAATCTAAGTTGAAGAACTTTTAGATGGAAAATGGTATGACCATAGCATCAAAAGTGAGTATATTCACTGTCAGTGGCTGGAAGACTTGAAAACGTACAATGATAATTTGAAATTGTGAGGTGGATCAAGAGTAAGTGCGCAAGCACCTTATGGAGATGTTTATAAAGTATGGGAATGATAATTAGACATCCAGTACCCAGTTGTTCTAAGGCACAGTCAGTTCTGGATGACTCCTATGTGAGGGCAACTGAAGCACAAAATAACAGCTGGCTAAAGAGCCTACTACAGTTGTAAAGCACCCAGTATCTAACTGGATATTGTCAAGACAACTTCACAATAGCAAGCAGTTTTATGCAGTGTCACACAAAGTATATCAGCAATGTCTGGGCACAAGAAGTTCCTTAATGATGTTCATATAGTTACTGAAATGTTTAATTAACCCAGGCACAATGGTAGATACGTATTTCATTCATGAATCTTGGTATATATACAGGAAAAATATGATGTGAATTACCATCCACTGCATACTGGCAGAAAATACATATAGAAGAACGTATATGCATGTTGGGAAAATGCAGAGAAAAACTGATTAGTGCATTTTTTCTAGAAGCTCCATTCTGGTTCTCTGCTATTATAATGAAGTCATAGCACCTGGCATTCTCTTCTTTATCACTGTAATTTATCTAGTATATTATTTCTCAATGCAAGATAATGCTTGAAACCATGCATCCAACCTAGTGCAAGATGACCAGAAGGCCAAGGTATTTATTGAAGTTATGGAATAACCAATATAGTGTCCAAAGTTGATTGAATATTTTTCAGAATGCATTAGACAAATATTTAGCTATTGTTACATATATTTCAAAAATTGCAATCAGGGTGCTTTTGTTTAACAGTACAACAGATTGCCCTCTTAGCCTTAATAAGCACATATAGTCAAAAGTCGTTAATTCGGACACCCATAATCCGGACCTCAAAGCTACAAAGTTTCTGCACATGCGTCGTGTTGATGCATTCGCATAAGACCTTTACGGCTGTGCATATGTGTGTGCGCATGCGCTTAATATGTTTATACATGCCCATTTAATGCATAACAAACGGTATAAGCTAAGCTAAAATTATCTAATTCAGTTAATGTTGCAGATTGCGTTGTTCCTTAATCTTCAAATTGGATCCAGCTTATTATTTTTCGCAGACTGTTAGAGCAATTTTATAAAAGTAAGCTTGAACTTTCGATTATGTCAAATAGAATTTCCGATATATATTTACTAATATGTAAAGGATCTACAAAGCGAAAGTATGTTTCGAAGTCCATCAAACAAAAAGTGGAATTGCTGCAAAAAATGGATAAAAGTATATCTCTAAACATTCCGAAATCTGTTTATCAATTTCACGCTGCTCAGCGGCCGATGGGGGGGGGGAACGCCGCAGCACGCAATGTATTGGAAGTTGATCTGTCATCAGTATCCTTATCTTCAGGGCAGATGTTTTTATTTTATTTGGCTTATAATTCCTTACTAAATGTAGTATTTAATCTTGATGTACTCCATCTTTGATATGATTTAAATCAAATTCCTCGTCATTATAATTCGCTTCCGATAGTGAAACAGAGGTTATTGAAAACGAAAAAATTTCGATTGACAAATTAGTCGGTATTCTCGACGCAGCAATTATGGGACTTGAACAGCGAAACAGCGCAACTGAACAAGAAATTATGTCTGTTTATAGAATTTAAGAGAAAGTATTATCACATAAAACAAAGCAACTTAAACAACTTACATTGAAAGAAATGTTTAATAAAGTAAACAAATAAATATTAAGCTTTTTTTTGTAAATTTTGATACCCTTTAGATCATAATTGTTCTTTATTTCATAAATTACGGTTTCATATTTTTAATTTTAGAATTTCTGCATGCCATCTTACCAGATTTAAACTGATGATCTATGATCTGGAAAAATCGATAATCCGAAATTGCTTAAGTCCCGACGAGTCAGGATTAACGACTTTTGACTGTATTAGATTTCTTTCTTCAGTTTATAATTTCAAGTCTGCCAATGTATTTCAAAATTCACACTGACATGTGGAATGATCATGTGCATATTAAAACCATTTTCAGTAATATTGCCTTTTACTTTCATTTATTTATTAATTAAATTACATTTAGATTGCTATTGTAGTTATGTCATTATCGTTTCTGTAACGTCATTTTTCAGTACTAAAATTCATGACTTCTTTTTATTTTTCAATATATTGAGAATGTTGTCAGCGTTACTTCTGGACCAAATTATACAGCAATATTACTAACCACTGTTCATATATTTTATTTTTACTATTTCTAAATTAACATTTTTTTTTTCCACACTACAAACAGAAATTCTGAATTCCATAAATCAAAAATTGTTGAAATATAAATCAGCAAGAAAACATACACTTTTTTTTTCTTTTAGATAAAATTATTTTTGACTCCTGCCATCTAATATAATGAATGTAAACACATATGATCACAACCCATACATTGCTACTGAAGTCCTCGCCAGGATGGAAGGCACAATGTGAGGCTTCCAGTCGATGATGCAAAACATCCTTTATAATACTGGGATTGAAAAAATAATCCTTTACTGGGCATCACCATGGGCTCATACCATGACAGTGAGGAAGAAAAGACTCCTAGCTTTGATTCAACACCCCTTCTTTTGACAAATAGCAAAAGTTTACAGAACTACCACAATGACAGTACTCTGTGTATTAACAGGAATTCCACCCCTCCATTTGAAAGCAGAAGAGCCACGTTATTTCACCTCAAGAAAAACATAGAGGTAGAATATCCAAACCTGTGGCCCCTTGATATCCTTACCTAAACATCCTGCAATATATGCAAAACTCAAAATATCTATAAAAGAAGAAACTCTCAGTGTACCTACATTTCCAGTAGTGCACACAGATGGGTCAAAGATAAATGAAGAAGTAGGATGCACATTCTTAACACTTCTCTCAGAACAAGAAACAGCAGAATAGAAGGGACACCTAAGAAACAACAACAGCGTTTTCCAAATTCAGCTTTCAGCCATAAAACACGCTATTCTATGGGCTCATCAAAGGCATTTAACATACTTTACTATATACAGTGACAGCCATGCGGCAATAAAAAAAGAGACACCCGGAGCACTTTATTTTCAAATGCTAGCTCACAAAAGAGTTACACTGCAAAGAAAGGACACAAAGTACTGAAAGGACACAAAGCCTGAGTACATTAAATGCTAACTAACAATCCCTCAATTACAACAAAAGATTTCCTTAATTATGAAGAAACTTTTCTCATATAACAGAGGAGACGTATGTCAAGATGCTATCATGTCTGTATAAATACCATTTATTCCACAGCTTACAAAAATAAAACAAGATTTTAGAAAATGTTGCAAATGCCTGAAACAGGCTAAATATGGTAAGATGTGTCAGAATAAAATAATTACATTAAGAATCTGTCAATGTACTAGAAGATGAAAAAAAAAAAAGATAATAATTAAGTCATTAATAAAAAATGATTTTTTTAAAGATATAATCTGACATAACTACATATATCAATGTAAATGTAAGTATTATGTGATGTGCTAATGTATGTTTGACATAATTATGATATATTAATTTACAATAACAATGTAAGATTTCAGAAATGATGCAATTGTCTATAACATGAAAGGAAATGTATTAACAAGATAATTAATTGCCTTAGGAATACGACAATGCAGTAGGAGATGCACAAAATATTCTACAATAATTAGTTCCTTAATAGATGTTTAATGTAATTTGATGTAATTTGATATACTAATGTAAATGTATTGTTTGTATGATATACTAATGTATGTTCAAAGTAATTATGTTATATTAAACTGTCAATTTTTGTTAATCGATTAAATTCACTGTAATAATTGTATAAAGTATTATATGATTCAATACGGAAGTCTAGAATTAATGTAAAGTATCTCTGCAAATGTCTTGTTAGGCTGGCTTCCGATGTGGACCAACTGAACACCCAGCGGGTACAGTAGTGCAGTGGAGCAATACCTGTAAAAGTCACTGATGAAGTTCTGGTGCTCCTTCTACTTTTCCCTGTCCCTGTTGCTACAGAAATTTATCATCAGCAATAAGTTTTATTTTTGATGCAGATGATAGGGTACTGGTACAAAAAAATCAACTGAAATTCTGAAGCCAAAGTAAGATATCAGAGAGTTTTAGAGAGTTTTGTTAACTGTATGAATAGTATAAATATTAACAATGTTTGTTTTTATTATATGACATCAAAATATTGTTAAAGAATACACAGTTAAACGATTCTGATAAGTAAAACATTGTTATAATTCCACTTAATAAGAAATGTAATGTTATAATCTGAAAGATAAATGAAAGATCGTATGGTATGTCAAATTATTATCAATTTAGTTTCATATCTTAAGTCAAATTCAATTTTCTTCACTGAGAGAAAATAAGATATCTTCTAGAAAACATAAGAAACATTTTTAAAAACATTACAAAAGAGTTTAAAACATTTCTACAATAAATGATGAGGTGGATGGAAAATAATTGCTGGCAAAATTTATCTACCTAATAGCACTTGCCATACTATTTAACCTCGTAAGTGATATGGCCAGAAAAATTCCGGGCTTTGCTTTACTGCTCGGAATGGTTTGTCCCAGAAGGTTTTCATGATAAGTCACAACTGTAGCGGTTAACAGATAACAATAAAGATTTAAAATTATTAGTCAATATAATTTTAATTATTTAAAGCACATTTCTGCAACTTTCAGGAAAACAACCATTTTATAAGCAAAACAAGTAACGAAAATTTCATGAAAATGTAATGAAACTACATTATACATTAATATGTCTTAATGAATATTAAAATGAATGGAATAAAATTAAAATCTTACTAAGACAGATGAATCAACATCAGACAGCATCTTTTTATCTAAAATTAAATTTAAAACATTTACATTTATTAAAATATCACATAAAACAGAACACAAATTTTAAATGATTTAGAACTTAATGTTGTAAATATGTGGTTTTTCTCAGTTTCAAATAAACAAACACAATTCATGAAGAAGTAAAATAAATAATTTAAGTAGCAAATAAAAGACCTACAGAGAAGTAATTTTGCTGGATAATACTCATAAATATTTTGCTACTAGGAACTTCTTATAAGGAATTTTTCATGTAGTGTATATATATATATATAAATATATATATATTTTTTTTTACTTTCTTTCTTTATACAATTGAACCCTGCTACAAGAAACTTCAAGGGCCCATAAAGTTGGGCAACTACAAATAACCCAATAAGAAAAATAGATTATCTCGTAAAAACTGAATGATAAATCTCTTTCTCTCTTACACAGACATGAGTAGAAAAGAATCAACACTTATATTTATCATAAGAAGTGAATAATAAATTCAATTTCAAAAACTAATATTAAGATTTAATTACAATTATTATTACGCACAGTTTTTAAAATTGTTGGCTGTTCTTTCCCAGTTTCATTATATATTTATAATTTTACACAATAAATTCTTTAGCATCATGGTTCTGATATTTATGCTAAGTAATTTATCTTACATCTATAGCTATGAATAACTATTTTATCATCCATGATAAATAAAAATATAATACATTTATAATTATACATAACTATTTTATTCAAAAACTATAACAGCATAATAATGATTAATAAAAATGCTGAAAAATTTACATTAAATTTTTCTAAATTTCTGAATTCCAAAATAATATGCAATTTTTTACTGCAGTTATGCAGATTGCAGGAAAATTTTATCAATATTTTTCTCCAAAAACTGAAAAGATTTCACTACTTTCTGCTCTACAGTTTGGTTTAATTTATTTAATTATGGCAAAGCAGACTAGGGCTATTTACTTAAGGGGATGATGCCTTCACGGAGGATTTTCTAAGGGAAACTGGCTCATGTACGTTACACATGGGGAAAACCACGAAAACGCCCATGCAGCCAGTCTCTTCATGGGATTCGAACCTTTACCAGAGAATTACCAGTGTTCAGAAACTTTGTCGCTTGGCCATTGGTGGGCACCTCTACACAGTTTCTATTTCATTTCTGAGGTTACGGCCTTCTTTACTATCCTCCTTTATGTGAATGAAAACCTACTAAGAATATGTAGCACAGCATGGCCGGGTGAACACTTTAATTTCTATCACAATAGCTTCATCAGTTAGATCTTTGCATGTAACAACATTATAATTATGTCAGTGAAAAATCTATCACGTTCTGAAAATACTGAAACATCTTTTTAGTCACTTAGTAATAAGGCAAATCCTCATTTTCATCTTTAAAACTCTTTGCTATACGGAATTAATGCACAGTTTTTCAGGCAGAACTTCTGTGTATTTATCTTGCCGTCAAATGGATCAAGGACAATGGTACAGCATCCTCAAGGTATAAATATTAACAATGTTTGTTTTGATTATATGACATCAAAATATTATTAAAGAATACACAGTTAAACAATTCTGATAAGTAAAACATTGTTATAATTCCACTTAATAAGAAATGATATGTTCTGATTCTTTTCTCCTTCTGAAGAGTATTACCAGCAGTGATAAATTAGTAATTGAAACTGTCAGTTTGCTTACAAATACGGGAATTGTTATCCATTTTGCTTATGTTCACGCTTATCACGGATTCTACGGAATTGAAAGAACTGATTTCTTAGCTAAAGATGTCTTAAATTTACCCATACATATCAATAACAGCATTTCAAAGAGTTCTATTGGAAGTCCTTTCATTATAAGAAACTTTTAGCTAAGTGGAATAGGATTTAATCTTGAAATGCTATGTCACCAAAAAGTTTTTTTTTTTTTTTTTCTATTTACCATGGACTGCATTCTGAGTTTTTCCTCTTTATTATTTTTAAAGTTTCTCAGTTTTTATCTGATCACAGTAAATTTATAAGTTATCTGTTTCATTCTGATCAAACAATGTATGTAAATGTAAAAAAAAAAAAAAAAAAAAAAAAAAAAAAGACCTCAAGATGTGAAACATTTTATTTTCTCAAGCCCTACTTTTGATGGCCCTAGATTATGGTTGCAGAATGATTTGAAAACGTTCGCTGTGACTTGGCCAGTGAACTCGACCGTTTTCATGAAATCCCGACTGCTCTTCTCTGCTTTTGTTCATTTCACTTATGCATGCAACATTTAATGTTTTAGCTAACTTACTTCTGTAAGCCCCTTGTTTTACATCTGTGGTGCACAGGAAGATTGTACTCGTAAAAAAAAAAAAAAAAAAAAAATCTGAAGGCTTTCAGATAGATTTTACATTATGGCCAAAGGGGCATTTTTTGAATGTTTTGTGTGCTACTTTTATTTATTAAATATCATGTTCTTTGATCTTAAGCCATAAAATTCAGTTCAACAGCAATATAATTTTAAAATGAGCCTATCTTTAGAACTTCCGATACACGGTCGCTGGAGATAAAATTCCCCCCCTCTCCTCCGTACAGTATTGCGATTGCTGGCTTTGAAGTCATTAAGTTTGTTAATCAAAAATCCGTTAAAGTGTTACAAGATATAAAATCGATAATAAAAAAAATTTCAAATTCCAAATTTGGGCTTCCAGATGCCCATAGTCAATGGAAGATTACATTATTCAACATTTGATGGCTCTAGATACTGTTGTTTTATCATAATGCGACAAATATACATACATTTATGCAAGTTCTCCATTATTTAATTTCTTTAAATATAAAACAGGGCTCTAATATTTGGTGGCAACAATTTGAAAAAGTGAACCAACATTTATAGTGAACTAACACAAAATGCCTAAATGGAATTAATAGCCCTTCTGTGCTCTTTGGGCTAAAAAGCTTTGCTTGACCAGTATACCAAAAACATTTTGAGATAATAGCTTCTATAATAAGTCATCAAGACTTCTAGAGTTAGCACTCTATCAAGCCATAATATGTTACAATTGCCATGACTGTTGTAATTATCCAATATACTTAATCTGAGCTGTTCCCTGTAATGACACTTCAAACTCTTGATCATGCTTCAATCAATAAGTAAGTTACATTTGGTGGCAAAAAATAATCTAAATCTATTTTAAGTTTCAGACATTTAAGTGCTCTAAGCTCAAAAGATTCATCCCCAGCTTTTTTTTTTCTTTCTGAATAGTGAAAATTTCAAAATTCTCAGCTATAGCCACAGCCTATAACAGATCTCGTCTGAGAGCTTGTTCAAAAAATATGAATGGGATCAGAGACCTATTCAACATTCTTGGGTTAAGTGGTTAGATACATGTTCAGTTGTCAGATATATGGTGTTCTGAGCTATGGTTACCATGTCTCATGTTCTCCAAAATTAGTTTCACACCTTTCTATAGAAAGAATTTGTTTAGAACATAGGGAAAAGTGTGAGCGAAGATAAAGGAAAAGCAATGCAGAGGTGTTTTCCTTTATGAGTGGCATTTGGATCTTAACATCATAAATGCAAATGATTTTAATGGTTATTAAATTTTTCAAGAAAACTAACAGAAATTATTGAAAAAATATGAAAAAAAAATTCAAATGAAGATCACCATACAGTTTATTATATTTGCTTTTCCTACCCTTGCAAATTTGCTACAGCAGTATAAAATAATATAAGTGTATTGGAAATTGGATAACATAAATATATAGGTCAAAGAGGTTTGTTCATTGTTTGCAGGGATTCATTGGCACATGGCTTGACTCAATTAAAAAATTTGCAACTTTGATACAGAAATTTAAACTTGACTTACCACTTAGAATTGCCTCCAAAAAATCTTTTAAAAGAGGTAAAGAATGCAGATCAGCATCTGGTGATTCATTCTTTAAAAAGAAAATGATTAATATAATTTAGTGGTAATAAAACACAGTTTAATACTCCAAATGGTAAAATAAAGCAAAAGATCATACCTGCAGTACATGTAAAACCTTAGTAACTTTCATTTGTTTGCATGCAACATCATTTAGCAGCAACTCAACAAATGCATCAGGTCTCACCTGCATAGTGAACTGGGGAAAAAAAATGCAAATGTAACTACATTTCTAAAACTAGAGTTAATAATGCTAATAAATTAACAAAAATACATGAAAGAAAGATCTGTCATATCCTGCAAAAGCGCTCAAATGCTTTATTTATTTCAATATAAAATTTTCTTCCTTAAAAACAGCATAGTCTGAAGCTCTAAATATTATGCTTAAATAACCCAGCTGCAGT